TTTATAAAGGAGCACTTCATAAGATATCTCAAATTAGCTGTTTCATGTAGGTGTCTTGAAGAATTTTGTTCCGACTGAATTCAACTTTCCTCAACAGTTGTTACCCAGTTTTAAATCTGTCTATAATTAAATACCTGAGTAAACAATATTTATGGACAATAACAATTAATAGCAGGTTGGCAATGTTTCCTTATTCTGTTTGAAAGAAAATATTACACCATCTGATTTACCTTCTTTGAGTACGAAGTTACTGTTTTTCTCCTTTTGACAAAATTGATTGGTTAAGTAGCTATTATGACTTTCCATAATACTGATTTATGATTTAGGTCTGAACCATGTATAGACTTGAATCAGATTTGCTAATTGGTCCTACAAAAAATATTTAGAAATGAATAATATTTTATTGGTCGTTCTTTTTTCATTGAACGTATTTTCTTATTATTTTCCATTATTAAAAATTAAGGCAGAAAAAGAAAAGTGAAACTCAGTCAATCTAGCTTTGAAAGATTTAGATCTGTGATTATTCGGTCCACAGATGACATTGAAGGAGAAATCTCATCCTAGCATTGTTTTCCGTCCGCTCCGTGAAGATTAATATGGACCATATTTCAGTTTGTTATTGTTTGTTTATGCTATATTTAATCTTTTCTAACTTTAATGAGATTAAGGATTATGCAAATGGAGAAAAGTCTAAGAGAGCTGAATATAGAATGTGTGAATTAGGCCAGTTTCATTTTCCAACTACAAAGTGAACAAGAATAGAAGTAAGTTTAAAAAAAACGTTAATAATGCTGTTTTAAGCGGAGTAAAAGTTTCTTCTTTTTTTAAATATTATTTATTTAGGAATATAACAATCTTTCACGTGGACAATAATTATAGTGAGATATGAACATATTCATACCATATATTCAGAAAACATAAAATTAACAAAAGTAAAATAATAACTACATAATAATAAAAAACTATGTACAATAAAATTGAATAACCTACAGATAAGTGAATTAAAAACATAAAAACTCAGTCATACCTATATACCATACATACAATCAGGTAGGGAACCCCAAGCCAGGCTTATCCCTCCAACTATAGAGGAAAAAACTGGACTCCAAGAGATCTCTGTGCTACTCTCTCAACCACGTCACTGGTGCTAAAGCTAGTGAAGATTGAGCGGGAGTGCTTTTAAAAAGGTTCTGATTAAGAAAAAAAAATCCGAGTGCTTTGTTCAGAAGAATACATACACTATTTGTTTGTATTTCGTTATATTAAACTTATATTTTAAGTTTTGTTAATATTCCATGGTGTTTGAAGTGAAAACTTCTTTAGGCTCGTTTGGCACTATTTTGTGGAGAATGAATTAGATTAAGCCGTCAGATTTCCGATGAGTAACGCTCTGGTAAAGCTGTTTGGAGTCGACTAATTGACGTTTTTTTGCACAAGGATTAAAATATCTCAAAAACTATAGTTGAATCTGCATATTGTTAGATGTGGAAATGTTTATTATTTCATTCACTCTACAATGGGCCACTATTCAAATTTTAACTTGTCGCGACGCAGTGTTAGAGAGGCGAAATGGAAAATATAGTGCCGAAAACAAAATGATAACTAATTTTATAGAAGATCTTAGTTAAATCATCTAAGAAACTTAAAATCGAATCTGCATACTGTAAGCCAGAGAAATGTTCAGCATTTCATCCTCTTCATAATGAGCTATTGTTTATAATTTATATTTCTTATTATTAATCTCACCTTGTTGATGTTTTTAATTCTATCGTGCGGTCTAAAGCACAGAGCTTAATTTTTATTTTTCCCTTGTAGGGCAACATTTTTGTAATATATTTAGGTATAATAGTAACTAATAACTAATTATCTAATTAGTAACTAAGTAACTAACAAGTTACGATTAATTAATATATATATGATTAGCTCTCTTCTTTATATATGTTGCATGTTTTTGTTAAATGATTTCCTTGATAGTTGGTTGCTGAAATTTATGGATATCATTATTCTCTCGAATCCCTTCGAACGAGCAGACCGTTGAAGGGCCTGTTGAAATCCTCAAACTGAGACCGAAACGTCGGTACAAAGAAAATAAAAATACATTTTTTTTGTGTGTACTTTTATTTAGTGCAATCTCCAACCAACGTTTCGATAACAAGTTATGTCAACAGCTGACAATTTCCCTTCCATCATGGATGTTATTGATAATTATCTTCTGCAATAAAGTTATACTGATTTGTGTAATATTTCTAAAATTTTAATTACCGTTAAAAAAAAAAAAAACATTATTTTCAAGTTTATTTATTATCAGCCATTTTACTACAATTTTCAAAATTTTGTCAACTTAATGACTACACATCTAATTACGACGTTTCGTCTCGTTGAGCCATTTTCAAGTCTAAATTTTTTTTTTACAATTTAAATCATATTTAAAACATTACATACTTCAACATATAGAGATTCTTTTTATACACCTAAATACCATTCATGTACCTTGTACATTTACCTATATTTATTTAGGTATATCTATATACCTAAATACTAATCATGTACCTGGTACATGATTGGTATTTAAGTATATAAAATGAATCTCTATATGTTGAAGTATTTAATGTTTTAAATATGATGAAAATTATAAAAAAAAATGTAGACTTGAAAATGGCTCAACGAGTCGAAACGTCGTAATTAGATATGTAGGCATTAATTTGACAAAAATTTGGAAAATTGGTGTAAAGTGGCTGATAATAAATAAACTTGAAAATAAATAGTATGCACCGAAGAAGAATTGGAGAAATATTGTGAAAAACAATATTTTTGCATCATAAAATTAATATCGGTTACTAAGAACAAAAGAAAAAAAGGGCATTCTGTTTTCTAGAAACAACATTAACATTAATATTCAAATATTAGTGCAAATAACGAGTAAGAAATCCAAAAGACCGAAGATCGATCAAACGAAAATTCCTACCACGCAGCATTGTGTCTCTAAAATCACTATAAGATTGGATGTGATGGAGTGATGTGAACTTGGGTTTGTTTTATTTTCCTAATGATGCTTAATTTTTCGAAACCTGAATTTCAGAGGCACAAGGCTACGTGGTTGTAGTTTTTTAATTATAACTGGTAATGTTATTGGAATTGAAGGGAGTTAGGGGAGAGGGGGGGGGGGAGAACTAGTCCAGAAAGTGAGCCACGTGGTCCTTTTTGCACTCCTCTGGTGGATTCCTTGAGGTTGCCGGCGAGTATTTATCAGATCTCAAGATGTCAAGACTCATTTCTCCATTCATATATATATCCATATATATATATATATATATATATATATGTCATTTCTAACATATATATTTTGTTATATAATATATATTCAAAACCCTCCTATTCCAATGTCTGTCCCGAAAACAGTCATATACTTGCTAATCTTTTGGCATTATACAAATGTTAGTAATGTTCTTTGCTAGGGTACTACAAGAATTTCCTACTCTTGATGTCAATGTATGCAACTGTTTTTTTGTTTTTGTACTATTTTTTCATTTGTATTTTCTTTTTTACAATTAAATTTGTACCTATAGTTACGTAAAGAAATAGTCATGATATATTTACATATTATTTATTATTTAAATACTATATGGTAGAATTATTTAAATACTATATGGTAGAAACACAGAACTTATTCTAAAGAAGAACTTGATGTATTTTTTATTTTTCAAAGTGAAAATTTATAATTTTCTACCATTGTAATTGTAGTTTTAAGTGTCTTGTTATGTTTTAAGTGTTAAGTTTTAAGTGTCATAATTTTAAGTGTTTTATATAGAGTTTTTTGATTTGTATATTACATTTTTAACAAATGTTTTCTTTGTTTTTGTTTATTTTTCTTTTTTGTTATTTTTATTTAGGTCAGATGTAGTATTTTAAATTTGTACTATTTAGTTATTCTAAAGAGACTTTATCCCAGAATCTTAAATCACAGTATATATACATATACTTACATCCTTGCTTTATTGTAAGAGTTAATATACAACGTTTTCATAGAATTAAATCTTTAAGTACATTTAATCTTTATAAAATCAGAAGATTGTGCACTCACATTAGAGTTGTGTTTCAGGTAGAATCTTTTGTTTTTAAAATAGGGAATACGATACTGGAGTCCACCGTTTTTTTTTTGGAGGAGTCTAGTCTTTTCGAAGCCAAAAATGTATTACAAGAACAGTCTGCCAATGTTGTGAGAGCAAAATTAAACTCTTCATCACTTCTTTTGTCATCACCCCTAACATAAGAAAGGTAAAATTTTCGGCAATATGACTATGGCAGCATCTTCAAGTAAAATTAAACTTGGTTAGAAAGTATTATGCATACATGTCTAGTCTGTAGAGACGTGCCTCATGAAAGAAGCTTTCATCAATGGTGCATCGGGTAGAAAGTTTTTAAACGCGTCCAAATAAATTTAAAGAACTGATGAGAAGATCTGATGGGGTGATTCTTTTACAGTCAAAAGAATGTAAAAATAAATAAGTTATATTTATTTATTTTTTTACCGACGTTTCGACCCGACGTTTAGGCCTTCGTCAGGATTGTTCAAAAGAAAGATTTCCGCAAGACCATTTTTACATTTTTGTTACTTTTATATTTTTTTTTACTGATCACTCTAATCAATCTTCCCTTAAAATATTCACTACAATTAAACATCAATCCACAATTATGAATTTTAAGAAGTATGGCTTTTCGTTTCAATATTATATTATACACTTAGAATACATACAATTTTAACCTCATCAAAAATGTACATATTATGAATAACTTTAAGCAATTAACTGGTGATTGGAAGTATATATGTGTAGTTACGCAATGTAGAATCCCACGAGAATAACATTCTGTCAGAAATTATATGGTTGAGCTCAAAATGTATTGGTTGTTGCCACAAGCCATGCAGCCGGCCAAGTCCATATCTCAAGCTTGCGGTTTTTAATACCATATCAGAACAATGGTTTTGTGAAATGAACAAATTCTGGATGTATAATTGAATTTATTAAGTTTCGTGGGTGAGGAGAAGATATTTAGAGCATTGGTAATATCTCTTGATGTTTGAATATTAGTGTTACATTATATTTAAATGTCATCGGTCCTTGTCCTCAACCGTGATGTTTGTGAGGTTTGTGGGGTTTGCGATAGCGAGCAGGTGATGGTTCCGGCTCTGGTTCGGCCACGGCTGCCACTCCAGCCAGCGCCACGAAGAGGGCGAAAATTACTCCAAACATCTGCAAGCAAAAGTATAGATTATGAAATCAAGGAATATTTAATATATATGTATATATATAATCTATACCTTTTAAGAAATGTACCAATTTTATTTTATTTACCAATATTATTTTATTATTTACCAATTTACAAAAAAAAAAAAAATTGTATATTATGCTCATATATGTTGTTAATACTATATAATTGTATATTAGTTTTGGAAAATTGTCTGTACCGATTAATAAGTATGCTGTGTTTAAAGCAACCCAATGTAATAGGGCAGCACCCTTTTATGATAATAAAGTGATTCTCTCTCTACATTCTTTATCTCGGAGTATACTTGTATACCTTCCATCTATCTCTTTTCAGGTCGACCCGACCTATGTCCCTCCTTTCCAATGCTACATGCTCAAGCATCCTGTTAGGCCATCGGTTGTCCTCCATTCTCATAACGTGACCAAAACAACTTAGTTTTTTTGTCTCATTTTTTTTTTCAGCATAGGATGCCAAGGGATTCTTTCATATTTCCTTAATAGAGCTTTGGACGTGTTATTGAATAACATTTGGAACGTGTTATCGTCTACACATTCTAAAACTATGTCCCCAAAAATCAGGGGTTTTCTTATTGAATCGGTTGAAATATTTGTATATTGATTATATATTGTTTTATTAGGGGTGGGTTGGTCGAGTGTGTCTAACACGCCTTGCCCGACAACCTGATAAACCGTAGTTTAATTGATAAAATAATTACATGTCCCAGTCACGGTGCTGGGAAGGTTTTAATTCCGCCACAGATTGAGCTCAGCGGCAGCAGAGGTGCAACATAGTTACAACAGAGGACCCAGTTCTGAGCCGTCCCAGCTATGTGCCTATTTCCGATCAAAGCTGGAAAAGTATTTAAATAAGTATTTATTTAAACCTTCGCATACATATTTTTATTTAAATACTTAACTTCACTAAATAAATATCTTTAAATAAGAGTATATAAATAAAGTTAATTGTATTTGTCATTTAACTTTTATTTAGAAAAGAATGCTAAGTAATAATAAAATTATCCCATATACTGTGAAATAAACAATTTCATCATTAATAAGAAAAATATATTTATTTTCTTTAAAATTTCTTCTGTATTTCGATCCATGTTGTGGTCTTCGAGGACAGTTTCTCGCCTATAGATTTGTCACAGATTAATTTAAACTTTTCGGGTTTTTACGAATTAGGAGTTTGTTACGTTATCGAAGACTTAGTTCTTGAAATCATAATCGATTTTATGATCGACTCCTTTCCTTATCTATTGTGTTAGTTATTTATTACTAATAATTAATTTCAAGTTGGAAAGTTGTGTTTGTTGCTACAAACTGCTATCCCAGTTTTATATATATGTGTGTAGCTATAGATACCAGAGAGAGCATCTCTTCAAAACTATGGGTCATTTCCTGGCTACTCCTATTTAAACCCCACGACGCAATCAGAGGAGAACAGTCCCATCCAGTAATTGTTAGCTAGTTATTATTAGATTAGATCTAGATTATTAGTGATTAGATCAAGAAACTTAATATTTACCGTGTCTATGTTTGTAATACGAAATACATCTTTTTAAAAAGTGATGGGTGCGTTGAAGTTTTTTAACTCTCTATCACTCTCACTCTCTCTCTCTCTCTCTCTCTCTCTCTCTCTCTCTCTATATATATATATATATATATATATATATATATACACACACACATATTATAGAGAAATTTGAATTATCGGTTATTTTAAAAATCCTTATTTATTATTATATTGATGTCAAATTATAATAAATACCATAAGGCTAGAAGTATAACTTGTTCATTTACATCAGCCCCTCCCACCAGGAAATTTCGCTGCCTCATATACCCATCATCAAACGAATTTTTGTATTTTTCATCTTATATTTCGTCGGAAAATGAATCAATTAAAGTAGTTCCATCAACTTTTTAACTATTTGAAGAGAATCTGAAAGGAAACAGAGGTTGAATGATTTTCCTACGTTTTATCTCAGAATCTTTTATGAACATTTATCAAAGGAACACGAGCTAGATAAGGTACGAATAGAAGACTTTGAAAACTGTTTTGTGACCACAACAGGTCAGCGGGACAACAGAGCCCCTCTTATCCTGGCCCTGCGTGCGCTGTAACTGCTCTGAAGTAGGTCCTCTTTGCCCCTCTGTTGCACCTATGTCGCATCTCTGTTGCCCTCTGTTACCCCTCTCCTGCTCTCAATTTGTGGCCGGTTGAATTTCTTTTTGTCAAAAAATTCTGTAGTTTCTCCCACTTTTATTTTAAGAATATTATTGAAAGTAAGCATTGTATATTGTTTTCTTCATCGGATTCGGGTTCGAGGTGAACTGACAGTAGCTCAGCGTCCACGGCTGTCGGAACTAGGCACATACTTAGCTAGATTCAATTAGTGAAGAAAACGCTGAACTAGGTGCTATGTCTCTTCCCTATTGTCCCTCTCTTACAACTCTGCTGCTCCTGTGCTGCAACCTACCCTGCATTCAGTTTGCGGTAAAAATAACTCTGTTATTAATCCTCTGCCTTCTCCCCTGGCCCATGAAAAACCCCGTATAATTTAAAAGGTGAGGAAAGTTTTGTTAACAAAACCACATACGAGTTCGATTTTAACAATTGTAAATAAATGGTTGAGACTATTTGTGACGTAAAAATTCCATTTATAGCGTGATCATTAGATCTTGTACCACTCGACAAAGAGTACCCATTAATATCACATGATTATATAGTAATGTATTTTTTATTATCCCATTGTCATAAAAATTAAATTAACTCTATTAATTCGATGAGTCTAATTGTATAAATTAAAACGAAATCTTTGAATTGAAACGAACGTTGAATCAAACGAATGGAACTATAAAAATTAAATTTCCTTATATTTTATTTTTAAATAGAATAATCCATATTCTCTAATGATTCAAAGTAGAAATGAACCGAAAATATATGGGGTTTGATTAGGTTCATTCTTGCATTTAAAAATATTATTTAGTTTTGAATCATGGGCAAATCTCTATATCTCGAACGAAGGTTTCTTCAATAAAAATCAATACATAAAAATTTCGATACAAAGAAATATTAAATTATTTTATCTTTGTTGTACTAAAATTAATAAAATTATTTTTTAAGATTAAAAAATTATTATCACTTCCAATTTTTAAGACGAGCATTGCGTTTCTAAACAGTTTCTTCTATTTATTTAATTTCAACATCAAGTCGTTTCCAATCTCCACAACTTTATAATGCTTAAGCTTAATATATAACCAATTCTTCGTTCTGTTATGAAAGGGATTCAGAGAATCTCCTTTGGGCATCACAATCACTTCTCCATAAAAATGTTCATCTCTGAATTTCCATAGTTTAAGAAACAATTTTTTAAAAAATTATTTCTCATTATTTTGAACGTCTCTAAAGGACCATTTTTTATGAGAGTTATATTTTTTTAAATGTGGCTTTTTATTCGGCACATAAACATTTATTAGATATACAGAATATTTTTTCTAATAATAATTGAAAATTCATAAAAAAATGGACTTAAAGAAGTTTCACTGTAAATTGTATAGCTGATCAGTGTTTATCCTAGGTTTTATTTTTTTTATCTCTAAGAAAATAGTTTAAAAAAAAAGTAAAAACTAGATTCCTTTTTTAAATTAGTAACTAAATTCCCTTAATTGAGGCAAAATGTATTTTTTTTCTCAATAAAATATAATTCAAATTAATAAGCTTATGTATTTCAAAATTATTTACAAAAAAATAGTATTATAGTTCCATTATCAAAAACAAAACAAAAAAAAGTTAAAACATACAATCGAAAATGTTTAAAAAGTTGGGAGATTGGAAACTATTCTGTTTCGCAGCAGTAAACGCATTGGTGGACTCAGGCCCCTCCTTCATTCCCCACCAAAACTCTCAGTTGTGGGTACTATTGTTTTTAATTTAATGAGAACTTTTATTTTTTCTATAATTTACAAAAAGAAGTCCCAATCTTAGGTAAATTTTTATCTGTTGAATTTTATCGCAGCTCAAATTTACCTCCTCCCATCATCTACAACTACCTAATTAAATAAACTTTAGCAAAACCAGGGTAATTGCTCTTCAATTTAATTTTATAATTTGGAAAGCTGTACAATTGGATAAAATAAATATGTATACAGTATATCATAGCTAAAATTACCCATTTGTTTAAAATACTGCTGCTCGAACGAAAAATTCTGTTATTAAACTTAAAATATTTTAAAACTTGAATCAAATGCTTAATTAATATTTTTATATTAATCTAGATAAAGCCATCCCCTTCTTCAGTACTTATTTTATAACTTATCATCTGTGTTAAGAAGAAAAACTTACGTAATACACATTCATGTCGACGGCAAAAGTTCTGAACAGTGTCTGACGCATGTCTGTCAAAGGTGGCTGATTTTATACAAGATGTTCTAAAGTGGGGAGAATTATTTGCAAAGGAAGTATCTTCGAAAAATGCTACAATATAATCCAGGAGTTTTTTTTTTTTAATTGGAGCTACTAGGACTTTCCTTATGTTTAACTAAGAATGTTTTTCCAGGCTGTATAATGAATTATCCAGGCTTTCAAGTTATCCTGGTATACAGGAATGCTCTTTAACTACGATGTTTACAGGATCAAAGATATAAAATTTTCATTCCTTATGTCATTCCTTTTATTTTTTTATTATTCTAGTTTTATTGGCAATCAACAATTAGGAATCCAGATTGATTTATACATTAAGAGGATGTAATAGTCGTGTGCATCTCCCACACGAGGTACCCTATTATCAGTCTGTTCGGCATTTCTTTATGAAAGAAAGGATTTGAAAATGTTTGTTATTCGATATCTGTTTCATCATTCATCATATTCTTCTGTGGGTTTTGATGTTTTTTTTTTGTTGCCAAATCATGACTTTAAAATATGTATCCCAGCAATTGCATCCCAAATGCTTCAATCACACATCATAAATCTAGAAGAATGGTGTCAAAACTGGAGAATTAAAATAAACTCCAATAAATCCCACCAAATTACCTTTACCCTTCGTCGTAAACCAACGATTTCCTGTCCTACAGTTTCCTTTAACAATACTCCACTTATCCCTGTTGAGCAAATCCGATACCTAGGACTCCACCTGGACAAACGACTAACTTGGAATCCTCATACTAGACTGAAACGACAAGAAACCGCTCGACATTTCCATCACTTACTAGACAAACGCTCTAAACTTCCCATTAATTACAAAAGACTCATATACTTGACTATAATAAGACCTATTTGGTCTTACGGAGTTGAGCTATGGGGCTCCGCTAAACCATCGAATTCCTCTCGCATCCAATCCTTACAATCCAAAATCCTCAATGCTCCTTACTTTGTACACCCCCCACACAACAATCCCCCCCCACTCCCCATACGACCACCATAAACTAAATTCACATTCCCATAACCCTCACCACACCAACCCACCAACCAACCTCCACCACCCCCCCCCAACTAAACACCCAATCAACACAACCCAACCATCACCCCCACTCTTTACATCCCCTCCTCATTCCCTATCACACCACCATACTACCAACACCAACTCTATCACCCCAATTTACTAACCACCTCCCTATACAACCATACCAACACACACACATACCCCAAACCACTCATACAAACCATACCACCCTAATTACCCATGACCAACCCGTCCCCACCCCCCCCCTCCACATCACACCAAAACAAAAACCACAATAACAAAAAAACAAAAAGGATTGCTCCCAAAATTGCCACCAACTACCCCCACAGAAAGCAAACTAAAAATCAAGCCTGATCACACTCCTCTAACACCATAAACCACCGGCATCAACCAACCGCCAAACTACAACTTATGTAAACCAGGCCAATACGGTCACACCAAACGACAGAAACCCCACAACTAACAACCACCCCCCCACTAAACACCAGCACCACCCCCAAGGCTGCCGATGTTACGCATCCAGGGTTATCGCGGCCGAGGGAGTACCACGTATCAGGTACAAAAATATAAAAAATTCTTAGGAAAAGTCTTATTTCTACCCACTTCCTACTTTTTAATTCATTCCTTTTAATGCTTGCTTAGATCATCATATAAAGACTATGGGCATAACTACTTCTAACCTCAGTTCCACTTGTTGTCAGATAAATTATGAGCTGACAAGGGATTTATCGGAGGAGAAGAGGCGCCTGATATCATTTCGCCTTGGGCGCCAAACATTCAAGCGACATCTCTGCACGCATCACTTTCACTTACATACTTTGAGTAGATTGTATTTTCATACATATGTAAGTGAAAATTATAAACTGCACAACATATTATTATTTACTATTAATTATTATTGCCACTGATCATTTCCTTCTACGACGTATTTTTTTCAGTGAGGCAAGAGTGCCAGTTGATAATGAAGGCCGCTGTATTTATTTATAATTTATTGTGCGTATTTTTACTTATTCGTTTGTTGTAATGGGTATTTGTTTAAGTAATTTTTATATATGAAGTTGTTATTACATATAAAAATGTGACTTTTTTTCTAGTTGTAAACTACTCAATAGAGTATAAAATAGAAAACCATGAAACCATGAAAACCACACTTGTATAAATAGTATCATTGGAGTTCTAAAGAACGTTTCGAATATTTCATATAAAGCACCCGTTTCCTATGAAAGTGAATCCTTATCTTTCGGTCAAGTTCGGATGCACACTCGTGTTTCTTTTGTCTCACATCATCATACCTTATATCAATTGTCAAATTCTCTCATAGTTAATATTTAACCATTACTTATTGAGGGTTACAACTGTAAATGCTTAATTTTTTCATATAAACATAATCAAAGGTACTTTAGTGTAAAAAAATTTGAAAATTTGGAATTAACCCCATGGCGAATTATATAAATGAGAATAATATCTGCCTAATGTAAAAGACAATTTAATGTTCCATTTATGTAATAAATTACATCAAAATCGTTTTAGCTGTTTTTTTGGTCAAATTGTAAAAATGTTTAAATTCCATTATATAAAATGGAATTCATTATAACAATTCATCAGGGTTATCAGCAAAAACATTCCAGGCATACATCGCCCTTAAATACGCAATTGCAATAATACAATGAATTACTGTTTCAATGAACTTTTCGTTTTTGGGCTATTCATCTTATCTCCCTCTCTCACACACAGAGAGATCAATTGCAAAGCTTAGTTATTTCGACTCAGGTGATCCACAACGTGTATTTCGTTTGAAATCCCGGATTCCAACATTTTCATGATCGCTATACTTTCCCTTGCTATAATATATCTCATGTATAGGTATTAATATACCTAAAAACATTACTTAGTATAAGTATTATCGCGTTACTAAGTATGCGTGTATAGATGTTTGATTTCGATATGAATCTTAAATTAAATTACAGAACCTATAAAATGTTATGGGCTATCGATAAGACACTGAACTTCAATTTTCGGATAAGGGTTTGAGTTCGGATTTGGTAGATAACTCATTTGTTCTGTTGTATCAGCCGTGAATGGACCCTGGGCTAAGAAACTACTCTCATTAAACGGCAAGGACTTTAATATATTTCATATTCAGGAATGGGATTAGGAACAGTTTAGCTTTCTCCTAAATCTATCACCTCCTAGTTTGTTAATAAACAGTACTCCATCATTTTCAGCTGAGTTTAAGATCCTACCACTGATCCTGCTGAATGGCACAGGTTTTTGTTTTATTATTATTGCCTGAGAGAAGATAAAATGTTGACAAGCATTAAGTAGGTTTAGGTAGCTCATTAGTAAAATGTTGACTATCAATCAGGATTGGCACCAATTAGAATGTATTAGTTGAATCAGATTTAATTAACAATCAATAATGGTATCTTTGTTATTCGCTTATCATTATTTATTTTATTTATTATTATTTTCTAATATTGTCCATTTCTTGTGGGTGAATTCTACGAGTAGTTCTGTTGAAAATGGTTTTAACCATCTTCTTTGAATGGAAAATGATAATGAACTCACTATCCAGCTCTATAACTTGGAATGATTTTTGAAGATCTGTGATCTTCTGCGTAAGGATGACTTTGAAGGGGACTATTCTATATAAAATTGGTTAAAAACATTTTTTGACTAACCGCAGCTTGAAATATCATAATAATATTATTTCCGGTCCATCTCGTGAATATGTTGATAATTTTCAGTTTCTTCCAAATTTAAGTTTTCTTACTTTGTCGAAATCAAAGATTATCCAATTTGGAAAATGTTTAAGAGTGCTAAATATAAAATGAGTGAAAAGGAATCGATGAGTTGTTTGTAGTTTGGAATTATAAGATATTTTAAGCAAATTTATCTTTTCTGTTGAAAAATAAGTGAAAAATTAATTAATTACGAGTGCCCTGCTCAAATAATAATATTTGTAATTTTTATTTTAAATAGGAGAGCGGGGTAGCTCAGTGGTAGTAGGGCTCTGATCTTTCGGTGCTCCAGAACCTGCGTTCGAATCCCGGCAGAGAAATTATTTATTCTGTTTCATTGGCCGTGAGATGACGCTGGGATAGGGAGACCCTCTTGGGGCACTCCTAGCCTCTCTGAAGTGGGTAACTTTAATTAAATAATTGATTAACGGGAAAAACCTGGTGGATGAGCGTGATCCTGGCCCCGATCCCATCCCTGCACAACTGCTGGCCTTGAAACAGTACTTTCCCTAAATTTTACTGAACACAAGACCCTTCATAGGTTGTAGTGGTACAGGTTTTTTTAATTTTAAATCCCTTCACGCTTATCTACACTAAGACCAAGGTCACCCAACTGTTGATAGACCGAGACCAAGATTATTAAAAAAGAATTGTATTTGTGAATAAAAATTAAGACAAAATAGTCACTAATACTTGACAATTTTAGTTACTATATGTAAAGAATTGGCATAACCAATATACTTTTGCATACGACCCTTCCAATTTTTCATTTGGGCTTAGTTAAGTTTTTCCTATCTGAAAAATTACTGTAATAGCTCTATAGAAATCAGCTAATATGTAACGGCACGAAGTTGCGAGACTCTTGCGTAAAACCAAGACTAAGACCAATACTAAGTGCGCAAGAGCAAAACTCGTCTTGGTCTCGCATTTGAGCAACACTGTGTATTAGATTATTTGGAAGCGGCCATTTGCCATTTTATTTCAAATCCAATTCAAAATTCTATTCAGCCTTAAGTTTACAGTAGTTCTGTAAACAGTAGTTACTATTCCAATAAAAAAGGGTAATCTGTTTCCCTTAATTAATATCCAACTTTTCTCTTAGCATTAAGCGTCCAAAAGCGTATTAGCGTATATACATTCAAATATAAAATTACTGGTTAAGTATAATTATTTTTGATATTTCATGCCATTTAGATGCACTTAATGTGTTTTCATATCGATAAATAAGGTAGAAATTCACAAA